GACCTGCCTGCCGCCGGGAACGCACCGGTGCATCGTGGTGAGTGGTCCGAGAGGGCTCCTGCCTGCAGGGCTGCCTCCGAGCCCAGCCCGCTGCAGCGTGGCCCAGAGCTCAGAGCTGCCGCCACCGGCACGGTCACCCCTCCTGTAACACACCGGGAAACTCGGGGCTGAGAGAAGCCATTTCCCCCAGAACAGTTCTGTAGGCACATCTGAGACTCAGATCCAGACTCGGGTCTACTGTCAGGTTGTGAGACAGTGGTTCCGGGGACGGCCCTGGGTGAAGGCTGGCTCGGCCTCCTGTGTGCACATGGTATGCGGGGTGGCCTCCGAGCCTGCAGCTCCCTGGGGGCCGTGTCCTGCCCCGCCCGCCCTCCTCACCGCTCTCCTCTCTGTGCTGCAGATGGTCTGCGAGCGGGCCGATGTCTTCGCCTCTGCCTGTGCTCTGGCCCGAGCCTTCCCGCTGTTCACCCACCGCTCCGGTGCTTCCAGGCGCACAGAGAAGAAGACGGTCACCGTGGAGTTTTTCCTGGTGGGACAAGACAATGGGCCAGTGGAAGTGTCCACATTGCAAGTGGGTGTCTGGATGTTCAGTGGAGTCTCTGGGCCACGGGGAGCGATGTCTGGGGCGTGCTCTCTCCCTTCTTGGGGAGGACGGTTGTGCTGCTGTCCTTCCCGAGGAGGCCTTTGCTAGCCGGCTGCGGGCTCCCTCTCCCTCAGGGTGGTCTGTTTTCAGGATGCGGGTTTGTGCCGCTAGTGTTTATTGAGCACCTACGCAGTGCCAGGCTCTTCCATGTTCGAATGCTAGTCGTCCTGTGCACGCACATGTCACATACCCTTACGGCATACTTTTCCATATGTTATTTCACCGGAACCTCAGGACAACCCTTTGTGAGTAAGGCAAGGCCGGAAGTGATTTCCAACTCAGAAGTCCTCGTATGGATTGAGTGTCAGCTTCCCTCCCTTGTGGTGTGACTATCTCAGATCCCACTGATGAGCTGTTGCCCTCCCCACCTCCAGTCCCATTCCAGCAGCCACACCTGCGCTGTCCCTTCCCCATCTCACCCTTCTGTCTCTGGAAAGCGGTCACTGTCGCTCCGGAGCTCCTGGAGGGCACAGGCCTGATCTGACGTATGATTTTCCCAGGACTTGGCTCAACTGCCCACTGCCTCGGGGTGCTCCACCCACACCTCCTGCTCTCCTGGACCACTGCAGTGGTCCCTTAACTGGTCCTGTTGCCCCCAGGTCCCTCCCCGTTGCCTTACACACGCGCACCAGTGTCTTCCAAGTGCTTGTCAGGTAGCAGGCCCTGCTCTGAGCCGATGTGCACACTCACGGGTCAGATCCCTGCATTGTCACAACAGCCCCGTGAGGTGGGTCCTGTTGTTATTACCATTATAAAGCTGAGCAAACTGAGGCTCAGCGACATGACGTGACTTTCTGGGGCCACTCCAGCAAGGGGTAGAGTCAGTTTTTAATTACAGCCGCTGTCTGTCTAGAATTGTGAGCACAGGGGGTGCTGATACCCCATATGGCCTTTTCCTCACTGTGGGGACCTCTTCAGCCCCCGTTGGACGGGGGCATCCTGGTCTCCTCCGGGTCACTGTAGCCTTGAATGGAATAGCATGCTGTGGTCTCTGCTGGACTTGAGTCTCTTGGACATCTTTGGATTCTAAGTCCAGTGTGGCACACAGTAGGTGCTCGAATAAGCATGGATGGAATGAATGAATGAATGATCCTGTGTGTGTGTGTGAAGTGATGAGGTACAAACTCTACCCAAGTCCACATGGCTCTGTGTGTTTTCTGCCCTCGAACCCGCGCCAGCTGCGTGGGAGAGCTTGCTCACCGGAGGTCTGTGAGGCGGCCACCTGGCTCCTCCGAGACCAGTCTCAGGGCACTGACGCACTTCCCAGACAGCGGCCACAGGCTGCGTCAGCGATGAGCAATGGATTTGTGTGTGTGACGCCCACAGGTGGGGACCTGGTCCTCCCCTGGGGGGAGCCCGCTGACAGTCACCGGGACCCCACAGGCACATCTCATATCTGAGCTGTCAAGTCCTGTATCTCTGCCTTTTAGGCTTTGGGGTTTAATTACCTCAGAACAGGCAGAGCTCGCGCAACAATTGGACAGGGCCTGGGAGGTGGCGGGCTGACGCTGTCCCTGGCCTGCCCGCCCTGACACCATGGGGCCAGAAAAGCCGCAGATGAACTCAGTGCTGTCTGCACCCCCACTAAACCTGCACAGCTTTTCTCCTTTGATATTGCCGCCTCTCTGAAGCTTGGGGTTGTTGGGGGGATGGACTGGGGCAGAGACAAAGGAGAGAAGGCAGAAAACTTCCAGGTCAGGACAGAAACAAAAGTGAGATGGGAGTTCTCAGCAAAAAGGCCGGGGCGGGTTGGGGGTGGGGCAGCCAGTGTCTGGGACGAGTCTGTAAGCACGGGTGCGCCCCTGCCTGAGGTGCCTGTGGTGGCCGGCTTGGGGTGCCCGGTGGAGGTCTGCCTGTTTCTTCCCTCGCCTCTGCCTCAGAGCAGAATGGCATCAGATGACCAGGAAAACAAGGGTGGGCTTGGGTCTGCCACACACTCACAAGGAGCTCACCTCAGAAAGACGCCTCCCCGAGGGCCAGCGGGGAGTGCTTTTACTCTGGAAAGATCCAGAGGAGCTTTGGGGGTGTGGCCTCTGAGCAGTGCCTCGGGATGGCTGGGGTCTTCAAGAGAAGAGAAGGGAGGGTGTATTGGTCGCTCAGACTGCCGTGAGAAAATACCATAGACGAGGCAGCTTAACCAGCATCTACCTCTCACAGTTGTGGAGCTGGAAGCCGGAGATCAGGGTGGGTTGTGCTGAGGGCTCCCTCCCTGGCTTTCAGAGGGCCACCTCCTCATTGTGCCTTACAGGGCAGAGAGCGTGCTTGTAGGGACACTCATCCCATCAAGGGGACCCACGCTGTTGACCCCACAGAGGCCTCCTAATACCCTCCCAGTGGGGGTTGAGGCTTCCACAGTGCACCTGAGGGGCCCAGACATGTTCGTAATAGAGGTCAGCACCTCCTCCTGAGAGAGGGTGTGGGGATTGGCAGAGGCCACAGGTGGGAATGCCCAGGACACGTTGCAGGCCAAGCACAAGGGCTACCTGCCACCGTGTGGAGTGCAGTAGCAGGCGAGGAGGCTTGGGAAGAAGGTGGCCCCGACAATGCCAGGCCGGACGCTAGCCAGGCAGAAGGACCACTGGCATTCTGTAGATTGCTGGTGGGTCAGGAGCTGGGGGGTGAGAGCAGACAGCTTGGCTCTTGCTTCCCCTCCACCTGCCTCTGCACCTCCCCCAGGTGACGAATGCTTCTGACACCTTCCAGTCACCAGGGGAATGGATAGGGGGGACAGCCCCTTCCACCTGGTCCCAAGGCCCTGGTGACAGCCTCTGTTTCTTTCTAGTGCTTGACCAATGCCACGGACGGCGTCCGGCTGGCAGCCCGCATTGTGGACACACCCTGCAATGAGATGAACACAGACACCTTCCTTGAGGTGCGTGGCCCTGGGGGTCAGGCCGGGGGGTGGGACCGGGATGGGGTGGGTATCGTTAGACCACAGGCAGGGTCACAGGAAAGCTGGGGGCCAGAGGGGGACAGTGTTCATCGTCTCTGTTCTTTGCCTGGGGAAGCCTGGGGCTGCTGCAGACAAAGACCTACTGTCCACCCAGCTCTCAGGGGCCAGCAGCCTCAGCCAGGGGGTGGGGGAAGGAGCCTCTTTCGAAGGCCCCTCTGCAGGACTCCAGCCAGGAGCTACAGGAAATTGCAGAGTTTGGAGGGCCAGCCTTCTCTCCTGGGTTTAATCACACTCAAAGCAAGAGACTCAGAGCCGCTGGCTCCCAAGCCTGGTCCCCCCATCTCCACCCCCACCCCCGTGCAGCCATCAGCTAGTCCTTGGCCCGAAGCCTCGGCCTCGCCTTGAGTTGAGCTGTCTTCACGTGTCTTTGTGTTGTTGTTTTTTCCACGAACATGTCCAGGAGATTAAGAAAGTTGGAAAAGATCTGGGGATCGCCCCAACCATCATCCGGGACGAGGAGCTGAAGACCAGAGGGTTTGGAGGTGGGTGGGGGCTGGTCCTTGCAGGACTGGGCCTCAGGGCGTGCTCCGGGCACTTGGCTGGCTGAGTGGCAGTGGGCACGTGGTGTGTCGTCCCGAGCTTCACCCCGAAAGAAACCGGCCTGTGTCCAACCCCAAGACCGGCCCCTGGGAAGCAGACTGTCACTGGAGAGAAGGAGGCAGTGGTTCAGGTTCTGATTCAGATTCTGGAAGCTGTGGGGTCCAAGGCCGCCCCCGCCTGCTCCCTCTCCGGCCTCCTCACGTGTTGTTGTCCTGGTCCTCGGGCCAGCTCATCAGGGCCTTTCTGTTCCTCGAATACACACAGTCAGGTCCACACCAGGGCCTTGTACTACCACTCCTGTATCTAGGATATGTTTTCCCAAGACACTCTCAGGGCAGGACTGCCCTACCCTGCACACCTCAGCTCAAAGCCACCTCCTCAGAGAGACTTCCCTGATGACTAGGCCCACCCTCTCCCGCTGCCCAGCCCTGGCGGTGCAGCAATGACCAGGACACGGTGCTTTCAAACTGGCTGGGGGAGGCTCACTGTGTTTGCTCTCCATGTTCCCAGGACAGATTACCCCAGAAGGGAGTGCAGAAAGGGATGCTGCATGTCTCACAGCTCTAGCGGGGGCGGGGAGAGAATCGGGCCAGGGTCTCTCCCAGGCTGCCACCAAGGTATGGACTGGGGCAGCTGTCTGAAAGCTTGACTGGGGCTGGGCTGTGCTCCCAGCAAGGCACACTCATGGCTGTGCCAGCAGGCCTCAGGCTCCCTGGCTGCTCCTTTCCAGCTCTCTCCTCAAGGGGCACAGCACAGTAGCTTCTTCCCTCAGGGCAAGGTCTCTTGGTAACCTAATCTTGGAGGTGATGTCTCAGCATCACCTCCAAGAAGAAGTGAGACACAGGATCTTGCCCACACTTAGGGGGGAGGTCATCTTAGAGGTGCCAATTACAAGTGGAGGGAGAGGCCACTCCCATAGGGGAAAGCTTCACAAAGGAGGGGTCCTTTGCAGTGGGTCTTGCAGGGTGAGTAGGAGTTTGTCAGGCAGCCATTATTGCCTCTTGTCCTGGTTGCTGGGATCCTTCAGTTCAGTTACTTGGGGCCCCAAGGCATGGACTCTGCCCCCGGCAGGCATGATTTTCTGGAGCAGATGGGGCATAAACTGAACAGTGAGGCAGTAGTTGGAGTGAGCTTGGAAAGGGTGGTGCGGTGTGCTGAGTGCATGGAGGGTTCAGGGAAGGGAGAGCAAGCGTGGGCTGGAGCAACCTTGAGGCATTGTCCAAAAATCATTTCATTCTGCAATCCTGTTCATTTCTTTCTGGGAACGATACAATATTTTTTTTCTCAGCGGGTTTTCTTGCCTAACAATGCTTCGCATAGAATTTGTTTGCAGTCCAGAGCTTTGGAACTAATTTGCATTCCTCATCCCCCGCTGGCCAGGGGCAGGAAAGGGGGCAGGGAGCTCAGTGTGGACAGCGCAGCTCTCCAGGAGCAATACCCCAAAGCCTGAGGACACTTCCTGTGGGGGAACTGATGTTTCTGGGGGCGGGGGCTGCTGGGTCTCCTCTGCTCAGTTCAGCCTGAGTCTGACTGCCCCTCCCTGTGCTTCCCGTAGGAATCTATGGTGTTGGCAAAGCCGCCCTCCACCCCCCAGCTCTGGCCGTCCTCAGCCACACCCCCGACGGAGCCACCCAAACCATTGCCTGGGTGGGCAAGGGGATCGTCTACGACACCGGGGGTCTCAGCATCAAAGGGAAGGTGAGGTGCTGGCCGCTCAGGCAGTCCCGGGTGCAGAAATCTAGGGGGTGCACGGCTCTCAAGCGTTAGAGGAAGACGGCCAGGAGCTTGGCGTTGGGTGCACCTCTGGGGAGCTGGGTTCGGGAAGGGAGATAGTGGATCCAGTTCTCCTTCTGAGAGGGATAGTTACGTGCCCCGCTGCAGACAGGGGTCTGGAAACAGAAAGTCTGGATAGGATCCAGAAACACGCTGCAGAAGTGATTAAAGGGTGGGTCGGGAGAACTGGGGAGGCAGCGTGCAAGGAGTCAGGCGTCTCTGTTCTGCGTGAAGATGAATGAGCAGGTTTCCAGGGACTGAATGCTCAGGGGTGGTCTGTACAGAAAGCACAGCGCGAGGTGAAGCCAGGGGGATGTGGGCCCAGAGGCAAGCCCCCTGGGGTGTGGCTACAAGGCTGAGGTCTCAGCAGTCACGTCTGTGGGCGGCCTTTGGAGTTGGCTGCCTCGGGGATAGATGCATGTGGGATGTCAATCTGTGCCCGTGTCTGTCGGCCTCTGAGAGGCCTGCCTTCCTCCACACTCAGCTGGGCACAGGAAGAGCCAGCCACCTTCATCGGTCACCCCACACACTGCACCAGGCCTGGGCCGGGCTCTAAGGGACAAAGACAAGGGAGGGACTCGGAAAGAGCAGACATGTGACATGTATGCAGGAGGAAGTCTGAAAGGAGGAGAAGCAACCATCCCCGAGAGAAAGCTTTAGAGAAGGGAGGACAAGTGAGCTCATACAGCGCAGACACTGAAAACTGGCTGCCCGCGTGCCTCACATATGTGTCCTGTTGGCCCATATGGGGTTTTAACATTTGAATTAGTTACCAGCTTTTAAAAACAGGAAGAATTATCCCAAAAGACTGGGTTTCTGACCTTTTGTAAACTCAGAAGGTCCAGCCATGCCTGTCCTGCGTCCCCGCTGGCGGCCTTCTGCCGCAGCTCAGTGGCAGCTGACACCATGGATATAGCCTACACCCCGCAGTTTGCCACAAGCCCCATCACTCCCTGCCGCCTCTCAGACATTGAACCCCAGTGTCAGTTGCTACTTAGGGTAGGCATTGTGCTACTGGTTTTTGTACTTCTAGTCTGTCTAGTATTTGGTTCCTACAGTGGATGATCTGTTTGTTTAGTTTTGTGTTTGATTTATAACACTCTTCCTTCTTCAAACAACAAAATTATTTTCAGGACTAATCAGGAAATGAAACTAATTATAATAAAGGTTTTTAAAAAGCACACACCAATAGTGAATTAACCGACAGTGAATTCTCCTTTATTGAATTCCATACATATTTTCATGCCAGTAAAAACTCTTAAAATAAATATTACAGTACAAATGAAGAAAACAGTAATGGATTAACACTTTTAAGTAGAATTAATGTAATTTGTATTTTTTCTTTTCTTTTTATGTATTGGTTAGAGAGAGAGAGAGAGAGAGAGGGAAACATCCATTTGTTGTTCCACCTATTCATGCATTCATTGGTTGCTTCTTGTATGTGCCCTGGCTAAAGATCAAACCCCCAGCCTCGGTGTATTGGGATGACACTCCAACCAACTGAGCTACCAACCATTGCATAATTCTTTTTTAAAAAATATATATTTTTTTTATTGATTTTTTACAGAGAGGAAGGGAGAGGAATAGAGAGTTAGAAACATCGGATGAGAGAGAAACATCGATCAGCTGCCTCCTGCACACCCCCCTCTGGGGAAGTACCTGCGACCAAGGTACATGCCCCTGACTGGAATCGAACCCATGACCCCTCAGTCCACAGGCCGACGCTCTATCCACTGAGCCAAACTGGCCAGGGCCATAATTCTTTTAATAGAAAAAAATGTATGCCTCCATATTGGTTGTGTTAGTAGATGTCAGCTATAGTTTTGTTCTCAGGCATTGGCGTCTGCAGATCTGTCAATGACTTAATCAGAAAAGATCTCCACATTTTCACAATCACTAGATAGACAAAGGCACCAGATTTGTCAGTCTGTCTTCACTCATGGCCCGTAAAAACACTATTCATTTTAATTTTAAGAAGTTTCTGTGACATGAAGCAACACACACAAATACTCAGGAACAGTCTTTAGCGTAAGTATCTCTTGATGAAGACTGTTAAAATCTATATCACCCAAGAAACTCCAGAAATTGCTATACTGTCCATGTGTTCAGTTCTTTGAGATTGATTCTAGCAGCTTTCAAATATCCGTGGAATAAGAACGTTTCAAACAACTCCACGCATTCACCTGGATTGAGAGAGGCGAGGAGACGTGAGCTCATGGCCCCCTCAGGTTTACTGTGAGTCCACGTTTGAAGGGAAGAGCACGCGGACACCGTGGACACTGTGACACGGAAGCCAGCCAGCACCATTCTGACCGCTGGGAACGGTCCTCAGAGTGGAGGCGCGGCCCTGGGGCTGTGAGTGTGGGGCCAGCTGTGAAGCCAGCAGTTATTACCATCCATTAGAATAATGTTTCTAAAAGGATAAGTAATTAAAAGAGGCAATTTGAAGCTTTTATTTAGATGATAAGGACTCACTTTTACCAGCTACAGGTTTTTGGGGGAGGAAGAATTTACCACTGATGACAACAGGCAAACTGGTTTTTAGTCAGTGTATTACTGCTCTTAAGTTCTCCCCAGACAATGAGCCTCTAGTCTTCTGTTGTCGGCCGCCCCCTCCCTCCCACCCTTGCCCCAGAGGCAGCTGAGTGCAGGCCGGTAGAATTGTGGGGTGGTTTCTCCTGGGATCAGAGGCTTCTTTTTGATGTTGGCTTCTTAGAGGGTCAGAGTGAGAAGCGGCTTCCTGTGAATTAGTCATTTTGCTGGTGGCACCAGCTCCCCGTTTAGCAGAAACACTCTTAGCTCCACTTCCAAAGTTTCAAAGACAAATCAGGATCAGCATGAACTAGCAGGTGTCAAAGACGTTAGTCTCAGGACCCCTTACACTTAAAAATATGGATCCAAAAAGGTTTTGTGTATAAGGTTGATGTCTGTTGATATTTCCCCTATAAGAAATTAAAACGGAAATTTTAAAGATATATTTACTAATTCATTTAAACCCAAAGAGACCCACACTAAGACACATCATAATTAAAATGCCAAGGGTTAAAGACAAAGAACCTTACAAGCATCAAGAGAAAAGTAGCTAGTTACCTACAAGGGAATGCCCATACAACTGTCAGTTAATTTCTCAACAAAAACTCTGCAGGCCACAAAGGAGTGGCAAAGAAATATTCAAAGTGATGAAAAGCAAGGACCTACAACCAAGATTACTCTACCCAACAAAGCTATCATTTAGAATTGAAGGTCAGATAAAGAGCTTTGCAGACAAGAAAAAGCTAAAGGAGTTCATCACCACCAAACTTATATTACATGAAATGTTGAAGGGTATTCTTTAAGAAGGGAAAAGAAGAAGAAAATTAAAAATATGAGCAATAAAATGGCAATAAATACATATCTATCAATAATTGAATCTAAAAATCAAAATAAATGAACAAGAAATCTAATGAACAAAAGAAACTGATGAATAAAGTAGAATCAGAAGCATGGAAACATGGAACAGACTGACGAATCTCAGAAGGAAGGGTGGTGGAAAGAGACTGACCAAAGATCTTATATGCATAGATGCATTACCTGTGGACACAGACAATGGGGTGGTGAAGGCTTGGGGTCGGGTGGGAACAGGTTGGAGAGGGGTTATGAGATAAAAAGGGGGCATCTGTAATACTCTCAACTGTAAAGATTTTTAAGAAATGAACATAATATAAACCCATTTTAAACCTGCATGTTAATGTAAATGTTATAAAATAACTATAAAATGTTATAAAATAACTAGAAAACAGCGAGGAGAGTGGCATCATGTTACATTTCTGCAAATCTCTTTAGTGCTTGCCTTCATAGAAGATATGTGTGGCCATGTGTCTGCTGCATTTAGTGTATCGTGATATGTTGTTTCAGTCAAATGTCAAAAGAAAGTTTGGCCTCACTCACTTCATACTTGGAAAGGGAGAAGTAGGGGAGTACAATTCGAGGAACTGGGGCCATTCGTCTTGCTGTTACACCAAAACTCTCCAAGGAGTGGCTCCCAAAGGCTCACTCTACTGTGGAACCTGAAACAATGCCAGTGAACGTTAATGCTGTTACATTAGAATTGAGTGGTCCAGCTTGGACTTTGCATGATTCTGTAATGTCGTGCCTGGGTCATTTGGAAGACGTTGTTTGTAGAATTATGCAGACTTTTAAAACTTGACACCTTCCATTAAATCACATTTCTTAATATCACCATTCGTCGCATTTAAAAAGTCATTGAGTATTCGGAAGCCTGAGGCAGATACAAGTTTTCCAAAATTCTGATTTCTTCTCTTAAAAGCTCAAACTTTACCATTGGCAACAAACAACAATGGAACCGTTTTCGTGGAAGTAAGAGGCTTGCTTTGTTCATTTTTGAGGAAATATCTGCCAGAACCTACGTGTGAATAACCACCGTGCGTCAGCTGTTCTTTCAAGGAGGAAGGGTGCTGGTGAGAACGGAAGCCAGACGAAGTGGGAACTCCAGGCTGTGTCCGGCCTCAGGATGGAGGCGCACCGCTGAGGCTGTGCGTGGGGCCCGCCGTGAAGCCGGCAGCCATGAACCTGAGCCCTCGGTGCTCTGTGCGTACCTTCGTTCCGTCACACCGAATATGGAAAGTGGCTGCATCAGTGGTTGAGATGTTTTCAAGTCAATAACTTCACTGCTTCAGCAAGGAAACGCAAGTGAAATGGGCAGCGCTTTCCTTTCCCGGAGGCTGGAGACGAGGCCGGGCACCGGCAGATCCCTGGGTGCCATGCCTTGCTCAGTGCCGCCTGCAGCCCACTTCTCATTTGCGGGCCATAGCTACAAGCGTCAGCCCAGTGCAAAAGGGAAATGCCACCGTAGCGTCAAGATGGGGATCGTTTCTTTTGTAAAAGTAAGAACGGGGTACGCGGGTGCTGCAAAGCAAGCACGTGAG